GTATAGGACTGTTTTTTTAGAGTGTACAGAGTCATTGTGTATGAGTGGAGCACTTGGTCAGTGTACAGGTTCAGTGTATAGGATTAGTGTACAGGGTCAGTGTGTAGGACTGGTGTAAAGAGTCAATGTACAGGTTCAGTGTTCAGGTTGTTTCTATTCAGTAGAAAACAACAAACATGCAACAATCAGTAGAAAAACATTTTTCCCACTAACATTTCCAGACTCTCCTGAAGAACATTTCTCTGGATGCCTTTTGACTAGTTGTCTGCCTCAGTAGAAGAGAGTCTCTTTCATTTAGACCTGTACAATTATGGCAGCGACAACAGAGTGGAGTGTAGGCTGTGTTGCTCAAGACAGGTCAGGTTTTGTAACCAGCAGCTACAGTTCCACTGGCTTGTCCTGAGTTCCCTTGCATGAACCTGCAGAGGGTTAGTCAGCAGACACCCCGTGATCACACATCTCTCACACACAGAACACCAACTCCTGGGGTTCCCCTCTTCACCCTAAAACCAGAACCATGGGTCAAGCCCGTGTTTAGTACTGACAGCACAAGAGCCCTCTACAACCTACTGAATGCTGCACAGCCTCAGCAGGACTCACAGTGCTTCACACACAGAGACTTATAATAGGCATGGCAGGATGTGGTCACAGGGACTTCTTCACACTTTGTAGATGATTTTCATACTCCTTTAAAGCTTTGACAAATATTAGGTTCCCACAGAACACGAACAGAAGTGAACTTCATGTTTCCACGTTCACGGCTGTGGATGAGCCACTGGCTCCGTGTCTGAATGACACACTGATCCTCCTTGTGCCTCAGGTGAGACATGAAGGCAAGGCCCTGCAACAGGGTATGTATCTTTAAGATCTTCTCAGAGCTCTAGTTTCAGTATAGCATGGTAATATCCTTGAGGAGAATGTACTAGATCTGAGTGAATTACTCTGGTGCACAAGGTGCAGGCCTTTACTCTATGGGGAGTTGAAAATATGTGCTTATACTTTCAGAGAAAATATTTATAAACATATTAAAAGGAACAAATACAAAATAGATCTGTGAGCAATATTATGCCATTTTAAAGAGATGTTTATTATATTAATAGATGATGAGGTACATTAATTAATTGAACTGCATTATTAAGTAAATGCATGACTGATTAAGCCATGGCTACAGTGGGCAAAGTTTGTGAATTGAGGAGAAATACAGCCATACTGTCCACTACAGACTCTCTCTCTCCACACTGCTCTCTGGGACAGTCTCTCTCTCCACACTGCTCTCT